CCGCCGCTCGTCGCGCCGCCGGCCGGAGCGGCGGCCGCGGCAGACTCTGCAGAGAGCGCCTGCCGCGCGAGCGCGCGCGCCTCTTCGAGGTCACCCCTGACCGCGCACACTGCAGCAAGATTCGCCAGCGCCCCGGCGCGCGCCCGCGGGCCCGACAGCGCCGCCACCTCGGCCGCGTTGCCGAGCGCGTACCACTCGCGCGCACCCGCCGCGTCGTCGTCGGACTTGATGCTTGTGGAAGCTGCCGCCCCACCGGCCGACGGCGCGGCTGACGTCATGGCGCCGTCAGTGGCGCCGTCTCCTGCACCGCTGCCCGCGCCATGGAAGAGCCGCAGGTGCGCGTGCAGCTGCTCCGCAGCTTCCTCCGGCCGCCCCAGCATGCAGTGCGCCTCGGCGGCGTAGCAGGAGCCGAGGTAGTGCTGCTGCGCGCTGAGGCCGCTGCACGCGAGCAGCTGCCGAGCAGCTGCCAGGGCAGGGATAGGGTCGTCCCTGAGCAAGTGGACGTAGGAAAGGTTGGCGTAGATGGCTTGCCCGGCGGCCTCCAGCTCTTCCGCAGGCGGGCAGTCGGACAGCACCCGCGGCCCGACAGCAGCCGCCGCCGCGGCGGCGCCGGGGCTGCCACTGGCGCCAAAATGGTCGTCGCTCAAGCGGCGCCCGTCCGCGCCGGGCGAGCCGTCGCCGTCGCCCTCTCCGCGAGCGCCGTTGGGCGGCAGCGGGCCGCCGCCGCCGAGCGCGGCCGCCGCCGCGGCGGCAGAGGCGGCCTCCTCGACCTCTTTAGCGGCTTCTGCTTTCAGGTCCTGCAGCAAGGCCGCCGCCGTCTGCAGCTGCAGCAGCGCGGCGCCCAGAGGGCCCTCGGACCACGCCGGCGTGCCGCCGTCGCCGCCGCCGCCGTCGCAGGCGCCCTCGGCGCCAAAGGCATGCCCCGACGGCAGCAACAGCCGGCGGCGCGGCCCCGACCCGATGACCCCCTCCAACAGCGGATGCCCGCCGGCGCCCTCCAGCGCCGCCGCCAACGCCGCCGCCGCAGAACCGCCGCCGCCGCCGCCGCCGCCGCCGCCCTCGTCCCGCCGCTGCCCGTCCAGCCGCGCCTCTGCCTCGGCCGCGGCCGCCTCGTCCCCGCGCGCTTCGTCCCGCGCCCGGAGCTGCGCGGCGCGCGCTCTCTCTGCGCCCAGTAGGTGCAGCCCGATGCTGGCCTCCGCCATGCGCAGCCACAGGAGCGGCTGCATGAAGTACCGCTGCCCCGCTGCGTCGAAGCACTCGAGGGCCGCCTGCCAGTTCCCCAGCATCAGGTGCTGCAGCCCCAGGTTGTATTGCAGGGCATGACTGTGGTCCGGCCACAACCCACCAAACTGCCGCCTCTGCTGCTGCTGCTGCTGCTGCTGCTGCTGCTGCTGCTGCTGCTGCTGCTGCTGCTGCTGCCGTTGCTGCTGCCGCTGACGCGACGGTTCCCGTCCGATACCGGGCGTCGCCGGCGCCGACGGCGTCGCCGCTGTAGCGCAGGGGGCGGTGCAGCCGGCCGGCACTATGGCTGCTTCTGACAGCGCTTTTGACAGGTACAGCGCCGCCACCTGGTGCTTCCCAAACTGGTGATGCAGCAACCCCAAATTGCACAGCAGAGGCACACGCGCCGCCGGCCGCCCGAGCACGCCGCCCCCTCCGCCGCCGTCCCCGCTGCCGCCGGCCGCGCCCGCCCCCAGCAGTGGCCCCAGCGTGCGGAGGGCCTTCCGCGGGTGCCCACGGGCCGCGTCCAGCTGCGCCTTTAGCATGATCGCCGCCTCGCAGCGCGGCAGCTGCGAGAGCAGCGGCTTGACGTCCCGCCGCGCCGCCTTGGGGTACCCGGCCGCGAGCGCCAGCCGGGCGCGCAGCAGGCGCAGCAGCAGGCGCGGGTCCGGCATCGCGTCGCCGCGCGGCGCGGCGGCGGCGGCGGTGGCGGAAGCGGCGGCGGGCGCCGCGCCGCTGCGGCGCTCCAGCAGGGGGCGGACCCTCTCCATGAGCGGTGACGTCACACGGGACACCCGCGGCAGCGCCAGCGCGCGCTGCTCGCCGACGGGCGGCTGCGGCTGCGGCGCCGCTGACGCGGTCGCGGCGTCGGCTGCGCTTTCGTGGGGCCCAGCTGCCGCCGCCGCCGCCCGCGCCTCCGCGTCGCCGGCCCCCGGTGCGTCCAGCCGCTCCCCGCC